CGGCAACATTTATCCCATCTGGTTATTGCCACAGTAAACAAGCCTATCACAGCGATAGCGATAAAATCCCGACAGTGACTTGAGACTTTGTCTGCAAGTGGCGTACAAAAAGCTATGGCATTGCAATATTTATATTTTGCGTCTGAGTATTCATAGACTACTTCTATCTCTTATATAACTATGTACCTCTCTGAGTATAACTCGCAACTTCAGGTATTCTCCAAAGATGCAAACATCTGGAGACCCTAAAAATCACCACACCATCTTTAGTAATTATGATATTGCTAACTAGGAACTATACTGTTCTTAATCGTAATTATCCAATCATCAGAGTCTTTAAACTTATGGCCCAGTTTTCAAGCCAAACTGTGTTGGCCCCAATTGTCTTCGTCATTGATAAAATAATAAGTTTTATCTGCACATTGTATCTGCAGAGGTAGTCATAATTGCAGCCTTTCTAAATTGCCTAACTTCAAACCTCCATAGCTCTATATTCAACTGACAGATATCTTCCGAATGACTTCCTACTAATTTGCAGGAAGCTATTCTACCAAATCAATAGAAAGTTCCTTAGTCAGCAACCCTTAGCTGCTCTGGGTAATTCTGCAAAGTCGTATATGCAACCTTCTAAAGTCACTGATTTCGAAGCTCAATATCTCCTGATTCAACTGATAAATTCTTATCTAGTAACTTCCCTCATACAGAGAAGAAGCACTATGATAGGATTGAATCATAACCTTTTAGTTGGAGTTCCTCTGGTGTCATGCAGGGAGCCTTGCAGTTGCAAGTAATATTAATAAAATATTACTCAATACTAGAAATAACTTTAACCACAAGAGGAGTTGAACATGTGATCTTCAGAGAGGAATCACATGATATTCCAATTGAGCTATTGATGTACAAACCTCACAAGAGGGCCAGAGGGAGGTGTTGGAGACTAGAGATTCCGATTCTGAGTGGAGTTACTCTACTTAGAGTGGTTCCTAGGTATCTGATCCCGGTATTCCTAACCTAAGCTCAAAGTCTCTTTTTGCCTGTTTTTCCTGATCCTTCATCTGCTGGAGGTGAAGTAACTAGAAAGTCAATTATTGAAGTTTATGATCAATATGACTTTATAGAGATATGGGAGGATATTAAGAAGCATCTTGAGGGGGAAGAGGTTTTCTTTATTATTGACAATGCTAAGACTCATTTACCTTTTAGGAGATGGCTCAGAGGGCAGAGAATTATTCTTATGGAAATTCCAGCCTATTCACCAGATCTCAATCCAATTGAACATGTTTGGGCTCTAGCAAAAGATAAGCTTCAGAAGCATTATCCTAACCTATATCTCATGAAGGACTCTGACAATGAGGTCAAAAAAGCTATTAAAGAGGCTATTACTGCTTGTTAGGAACTTCTTGACCCAAAGATTTTTGATTCTCTATCAAGTTCAATGGTGGATAGGATTGAAGCAATTATTAAGGCAGATGGATGGTACACTAAATATTGATTTCTACTATGTATTTACATTTTTTTAATTTTTTTTGTTATTGTGATGTTGAGGTTGGTGAGAGGATGGTTGTTGTATGATCAAGTTATTTTTCTATTCATTGTAGTCGGTTATTTTTGTTAACGAAAAATAACTATAATAATATATATATGTTTCAAAATTCAACAGTCAAATGCACCAGTGTTCTCTGTTTATTTACAGTATCTTTATCGCTTCCGCTACATCGTAGCATTTATCACAGGTGGGGAGTTCACAGAGTTTTCGGGTGAGGGGTCATGAATACTTTTCATTCACTGTTCAGTATCGTACAAGTCTTGATCGCTTGGTCGACAGCGATAAAGAAAGAAATGACTAACCACTATCCCTACGAGTAGATATAACACCACGAAACCGCTACTACCCAACGCTATATATACGGCAAAGGAAGCACATAAATCCGTCATATCCATCCGGGAAAAAAAGGAAGCAAAGCGAAAATCTGATAATATCCAACAAAGGAAAACCCTACTGTCTACGTCCCACGGGTACGACACAGGGATACGTCCCCATATTTCCAATGTCCCAGAAGAAGAGAGGGGAAGAAAAAGAAAAAGCCAAAAATATCACATACAGTACAAGTACAATACTTTTCAAGCCACCCAAGCCAGCCTACACCGAAACCGGCAATAAAAGAAGTGAATCATTACCGTACTCCCCCGAACCTGACCCGGAAGAAAACAATAAGCAAATACTAGCAATCATACCGCATCACCTGCGTCCACCAAACCTAGCCACCTCTGGCATGTCTAATCTAGGGCCATCATAAAACCCTTCGTCGTCCCTACTCCCAGAAATACCACCACCCAACTCCGCTAACTCTGGCAACTTCGGTGGCGGGGTCACTCCCCCATACTTTAGCGCACCACCACCCTCCCCAATCCCAAGATCAAACTGTTCACCTCTCTCAACATCCGAAGGTCCACGGTCAGGGGTTGTATCATCATTGGGGAAGGTACCTGCATCATCGTCCGGCTCCGCCTTTCCATACTGAATGAGTGCGCGGACGATCAGGCCTAGTGAAGTTGCCCAAGCAAGCCTATTTATTCCATTCTCTTCGTTGGCCATCTCCTCTCAATTGTCACTGTTGTGGGGCAGAAGGAATTTACCATTCAAAAGCCCCAAATGCAGCCGCCGCCCTTGCCGCTGAAATAGGACATTGGAACCTAACATCACATCTCAGGCGATCGATGCCCGCGGCCAACGCAACGAAGCCTGCAAACCAAAACACCATTGTAATAGCCTCGACACCGAGAACTGCCCAGCGATTGTGGAAGTTTGGAAAGAACATTGGCGTTACAACGACGTAACCGAGTGCAATAAAGGTCCAGACTGACTAGAATATTGCTTTATTTAGCATCATAAGTATGAGAAGTTTGCGTAGCACAGAAGGAAGATGGGGGGGTAGCGACAGGGGGAAGAGGACTTACATCAAAGACCAGGAAATTCGCAGCATCTACGGCGCCATCATAGCCGTCCACAACATATGCGGCGACTCCGAGAACAATAAATGCGAGGACACCCTGAGTTACTCTCAAGAGGAGGATTGGGTTGACCATCGTGTCTAGTTCTTTCCTTTCCTTTTCTTCTCTCTCTATTTTTTACCTGCGCCGTTATGGGGGGTCTGGTCTCAGCAGTGTTAATGGCAGGACAAACAGGTTTGCTGTAATAGTTTGTGCAGGAGGAGTAGGGGAATTTCGAGGCAATAGATTGACCAAGGACCCAACCCTCTGTTATACCTGCGAAAGCGGAGGGGGAAAGGAGGGGAAAACGTCAGCAGAGCAAAGGCTCGAAAGTGAAATCTGCAACCCGCCGGGGCCACGCAGTCGCTCGTTCGCCCGGGTGGGGGGGGGGGCAAAGAGGAAGAAGGAGGAGGAGCAGGAGAGGAGGCTCAGCATAGTACTCACCTGGCAGGGTAAAGTAAAAATGGATCCCATCAAGTCAACGAAAAAGTCAAAGGCGATAACTGTCATACAACTAACTGGGTGGATGGGTGGAGGAGGAGGGGTGGGTAGAGTACAGTATGATAGGGTAGTAGTGATGGGGGAAGAAGTGATTGATAAAACATCGCGCAAGGGTTCGGGGCAGTACAGAAAATGTTACGCGTACCTAGCTTCTTGGTGTGACGATGGTGGAGAGTGGAGAGTTGGGTAAAGTGAAATACAGTAGTAACAATGAAAAATGGCAAAGTGCAGATGATTTGAAACCCCCAATATTCCGAGAGTGCCTTGAAAGTGACCGAAGGATGGGTAGAGAGATCAGTAAGTGAGAGAAGTGATGGGGTAAATTTCTCACGAACAAACGAACGAGCAATGAGAGGAGAATAGCGGACAAGAAGCCCAATCTCAATTTTCAAGGAAGCTGGGTGTAGGCCATCAAGTCGATGCCCGGCGCTGTACCCATACTGTGCCCTACGCATTCATTCCCTTCCTGCTTCCAACGATTATCATACACCACCACCAGCACCACAGTTATCATACAAGGACCGGTACCGCCACTTTCAGGGATTCCACCACAAGCGAATCTATCCCCACCACCTAAAACTGACCCTGATACCGCGCCCTATCGTTAACCGTTACTGCCATGCTGCACCAACGCTGACGTATGCCCACCACCTATCGTACTGTAACCCACCATTGCACTCGTCATTTGCTAAGAGCCCTACTCGTAGCCGATGCTCCATTCATGCGCTCGTGATACACGATTTACAGTATCATTTGGTGCTCGAGTAAGGTACGAGTAGTCTACACATGGTACTCGCATTTTCCCTTCGGGGTATATTGTTCACAATCCCATAATGTACGAGTAAATGTAGCACCTTTCTGCCTCCACTATCGTACCGTATACTCGAGTATTGTCTTCCCTTTCTTTCCCCCCCTCTCTCTCTTAAAATGCGGTAAGGGGTTCGGTAAGGGGTTCGGTGTGATGGGCCGCGGCATTCTGTTTTCTTCTTCGGATATCTTGCGAGTGGAGCACCGCAGAAGAACGGTTGGAGAGGATAGGCAAGGGGTTGGTTGTCTGGGCAACGGTGTGTGGCTGTGTACCTGGGTGGCGTCACGGTTGGAGATGGTGCCGTTACCGTACCATACTGTAACTTGATAGACGGCGGGGCGCAAACGGGTGCGTGGACTCCCGTTACGGCATGCGTGCAAACGAGCGGGTCAAGTGTGACGTTTCCCCTTTCCTACAGTACGAGTACGTACGGTCATGCGAGCACAGTGCTATCAGTCCAACGAAAACTATCCCTCATCACAACGAACAGGTGGGTGGGTTGATGGGTATGAATCCGAGTGATAGTCCATGACAATCATCATTTTATTTTATTTTCCCAGGGAGGGTGGTATTTTGAGAATCTCATTAATAATAAAAAAAAGACCCGGGTACCGTACCGTACAAAAGGGAAGGAAGAGACAAAGGAGGGGAAGGGGAAAGAGGAAAGGGAAAAAAACAAGAAACAACACAAGCGAGAGAATGCTCTGTATGTTACAAGGTCCTTCTGCCTCCCAGCATAGCTACTTCCCGTCTGGCATTCCCATTCCCAGTCCTGGAATCCCCGCACTTGGACCTCCGCCTCCACCACTGGCGGAAGTATTGGCGGTGGCGGCGGTGGTGGTGGTGGGTTCGGCGACTTTTTCCGTCGGCGGGGAGAACATGAATGCTGCTGCGGCCGGCAGTGAATCCCCGCTGGCCTTCTGTTGCTGCTGATCTGTGCCTGGAGGTGAGGTGATAGCTGGTGTAGTTGTAACAGTGGGAGCAGGGGCAGTGGTAAAAGTAGCGGTGTTTTCAGGGTCCTTCTCCTTCCCCCCTCCCTCCACATTGGGCGTGTCTGGCTTCGAATCCTGATCAACGTTCGTAAAGTCATTCATAATCGTATCCTCCTCCTCCTGCGCCCCCGTTGTTGTCTCCTGTGGCAGTGGAGGAGGAGGAAATTCCGCAGCGCCATCAAGCACATGCGGAAACCCCATCTCCGACTGACGCGAAGAATCGGTGCCATTCTCATCCGGCAAGTTGACCATTGCGAGGTTGAATTCGTAGTCGACAGTTGTGGATCCGTTAAGGTTTACTGTTCCCGCATCGCCATCTTGTTGAATTTCACCGTTGCGGCTGTTGCCGCCCTGATCTTCCATCATGATTGTGTCCAGGTTTGGTTGGCCGTCACCCTCAGCTACTATCCCGCCCATCTTGATAATCTCTTCGATAGGCAGCTCGTGCTTTGCTAGCATTTTCTTCTCGACCACTTTTTTCCCAAGGGCGCGTTCCACGTCACGGACTATTTCTTCTACAGCTGAAAGGTCTTTGATTGTGGTTGCGGCCGCGGTAGGCTCGGAATGGCAGTCTTCCATTTCGTTGTTGGGGGTGTATACTTGGTGGCTCTCAATCTCGGCTTGTTGATGCTGGGGGGTGAGGCCAAGGCCGATTCGGAGTTTTAGTTCGGCATCTTTGGTCACGCCGTTTTGCTTGATCTTCTGAAGGCGCTTCGCGTGGGCATCTTGCATTCTGAGCATTTCCGCTTCCATCTCCCTGATCTTGGCCTCGACGCGGGGGCGGAGCTCTTCCAGGATTTCCGCCTGGGAGCTTTCCTTCTCCTTGGCCGCATCTACAGTGCGCGGGGGGCTTCGGGATGGGCGGGTACACCGGTGGGTCT